GTGAGATGTCAACTTTTCCTGCTTAGAAGAGAGATTATACTTTTATAATTTAAATGACAATGTGCTTTTCTATTTGATTTTTGATATAATTAATTCAATTTACAATGAACAGACCTCCGCGTCATCTAAACATTTTAAACCAATGTGTAAGACCTAATAATAATGCTGTGAAGTTTTAAAGTGTTAGTGAGTTTTAACGAGCTCTGCAAAGTTTTAACAAGCTTCTTTTCTTTTTACTTAGTTATTGTAATTCGTTTATTTTTTATTTATTTATTTTTTTAAAAAAAAGAAAACTCATGAACAGATATTATTAAACAATGTAATAAACATATTTATTCGTAATATAATATTCATTCATAATATAATCTCTCCTATTATTAAAAACGACGAATGCAAACAACCTAAAATCAGAGTTAAACATTTATTTTTGTTTGATTTTTTTAAAATTTACTTATAACAATCATGTGTTCATACAATTACAAATGAAACACAAGTTTGACAATCTGCCAAAATTTACAGAGAATTTAAGAGATAAATAGCAGAGATATTTTATTTATCCACACTATCGTCTATTTATATATTTAGGTAAACTAAATTAGTATGTTAAAGTTTTCTTTTAAGACATTGACAATGAATCTCAAAAATAAACGAATTTTTTTTTAAAAAAAAGATTCGTAGAAATATGATTAACTCTACTGCACTGTTTTCATTGAGGTTTCCATTTTCTTGTCCTTTTAATTTAAATGTTATTTTATACACAAACTAAATAACAAGAAACGTATATTTCATATTTAAAAAGTTAAATATAGGAAGTTTCCAATCTGCTTACTTTTGTCTAAATTTTAATAATTTTCGTGTTGCCAGTTTATTACTCTAAAGTTTTCAGTAAATGCTCACTTTACTAGCAGCAAATATATGTTTTAAGCCGACAAAACATTAAAGTTTCAGCATACTTTTTATTTTTAAAATAATACTTGCGTCAGATTCACGGTCATAAAAATTTAATTGGGCATTTGAAGATGTTGTAGTAGTTCTATATATAAACACTTAAATTGTTGCTATGCCTGGTTGTCAAAATATACCATTTCATCCAAAAATAGACAAAAATGTCTTTTTTTTTAAATTATTTTTTTCAATAAGGCACTGCGGTCACAGAAGAGGATAAATTTTCACAACCACTTAAAGTTTTTTTTTCTTTTTAAATATTTGAATTGATTATAGCAGCGTTACTGTTTCAAAAAAAAAAGTTTAGTTAGTTTGCCTGGGGTTTAACGAGGAACGAGTTGAATGCCAAGGTGGTCACCGGTGACCGGCACTGAGTATGTTCGTAGCTCACGTAAATCGAGTAAATTTTTAATTTTTCGAGTAAGTTTTTAATTCTCGAGAAAATTTTTTAATTTTTAATATTATTATCGTTATTAAAATTGTTTGAAGAAATTAATGCAATATAAAACACACAAAAATATTTTTATTTATATACACAGAGATGCCAACTTGCTCCGGACTGCGAATAAATATTTACAAGTGGTAGTTTAGTAATTGTGATACTTGATTTAATATATTCAATTTAGTAGTGATTCTTCGTTTAATAAATTCAATTTAGTAGATTTTTATCCACCACTATTTCTAAACAATTCGTAGGTTTATATCATTTACCCCTTTTTTCACACATGTCATGCTAAACCTTTTAAAAACTAGTAAAATCTGTCTAATATATGCAAGCTTAGTTTGTAGTTATACACCGTTTGGCCAGACGGGCAAGCTATGTAAAATTAGCGAGGCATTCAACATGTTAAAGCTGTATATAGCAAAAAAAATTTTGCGCCTGGAAAACAACTTGTATTTCAAAAATGTATATGACAGTAGGGAGTCATATTCCGGGGATACCAATTTTTACGCTTTTATAGAAAAGTTCCTTCTAGGGGTAACTGAAGTTCGTGTTCTAATGTTTGATCCTTTTTCTTTGTAAATATGAATTTAAGTTATTTTTGCAGACCACTTCATGTTAATGATTTGAAAAGTTCAAATGAAGCGCCACTTAGCTGCAGCTTTCTCGTAATGAGACTTTCAAAACGTTGGCAAAATTACCAACAATTCTGAAAACTTTAGTTTTTAATTGTCTACATATTGTTATTATTTTATATTGTCTTTTATTCTATACAATATTTTTCAAAACGCGTGTTAGTTGTCAGCCCTAATATTCTATGTCGGTCATTGTTATAAGGCAATATTGCCCTGCATGAATCCTTATTCCCCTATGAAACCCTATTTCATTTACTATTTAAAATTTGAAGGGAAAAAAAACGGTGAAACAAATTTTATAATTTTGAATCGTTTAGTAACAAATGATTTTAGTCAGGTGAAATAAAAGCAAAACATATTTATCATAAAAAACTACAATTTTAGTTGACATTATCATGGTATGATTATTAAAATGTAAGCTGTAACTAAAACGAGAAACTATAAACTTAACCATACATTTATCACCATTTTTTTCACAATAGTACACTTTTTATTCTTTTGATTTACAATAACTGCCTATCCATAAATTTTAAGTAGACGTTGTCACAATTTTAAATCAAGATTTACAAAGCGAAGAATCAAATTTATATGTATGACATTTTGCTAAAAGAGGGAAAATCTTTCATTTTATCTATTGAAAAACTGCAGCATTTGATGGGTAGTAGTCTAAAAAAATTTTTATAATCTATAAAATAATCAATCAAACTAGATCTATTACAGTATGCTTATAAATTTTTTAAAAAAACGGAGTTTTTTAAAACTAATGTAAATTTATGGCTCAGTTGGAAAATAGACTAGTTTTCACAGGGTTCAGGGGGTCCTTGAAAAGTTTTAGTGGTGGTAATAAATTTAGGTTAATGCTAGACGATATTTCTTATTTTAATATACCACTTTATTATTAAGTAGTTGAGAAGCTGTAATTTTTATGCATATATCTTCAGAGATGCCAACTTGCTCCGGACAGCAAATATATATTTTAAAGTGGTAGTTTATCAATTGTGATTCTTGGTTTAATAAATTCAATTTAGTAGATTTTTATCTACCACTATTTCTAGATAATTCGCAGGCTTACATAATTCATCATTTTTAGTACTTATGTCATGCTATATCTTTTAAAAACGAAGCAAAAATGGTCAAATATTTGCAAAATTCACTATGTAGTTATTTACCGTTTTTTAAAATGTTTTCGCGTGTCCGGAGCAGCTGACATCTTTGTATCTTTGGAAAACAATTTTTCGTTTTGATAACACAGAAACTAAAACATCGAAATTAGTTTTATTTTTGTTACCGCTTTTTAAAATTCACGAGCCTCACAGGAACTTTCTTTCTAGTTTTTTGTGCCCTCATTCTGATAAGAATTTATTCTGTTTTTAAAATCTGTAACGCAATAGGATAATTTCTGCACAAGAACATTGTGCAGTTTTAAAATATTTTGTAATACATAATGTTGGCCTCAACCGGGGAAGAATTAAGGAAACAACTTATTTTTATTTATTATCATCTTACAAAATACATTTGTAAATTACGGCAAATGTATATCGATGTTAAAACTGTTCAACTTAGTTGATGACATTTCATCACCTTCTACATCAGAAAGCCTCCACACGGTGTCTTTTAAGTAGTCTGCACAGACTATTTAAAAAGTGACACAGTTGTGCGCATGAACCCAAATTCCATTAAAAAAATTACTTACTTTACTTTACTTTTATTTAAACAAAACTNAAGCCGTTTACTTGTGAAATCATTAAAAAAATGCGTGAGAGAAATTTATCATATATATTTGAGAATTGAATCTGTAGTGGTAGACAAGTAAATAGGACAAAACAATCATATTCATAAACTAAAAAAATTTTCTGACATTTATATGCTACCACTTTCTTTTTTTAACTAGATTTTATATTAAATATTAAATAACTAATTAAATACTGCATTGGCTACGTTTTGGAAAACAATAAATAACTGCAAAGTAACTTTTGCAACTATTTGACTATTTTTGCTAGCTTTTAAAAGTTATTGCACAGAGATGCCAACTTGCTCCGGACAGCAAATATGTATTTCAAAGTGGTAGTTAATTAGTTGTGATTCTTGGTTTAATAAATTCAATTTAGTAGATTTTAATCCACCACTATTTTAAAATAATTTGTAAGCTTATATAATTCACCGCTTTTGTGTTCCTAAGTCATGCTGTACCTTTTAAAAAACAAGAAAAAATAGTCAAATATTTGCAAAATTTATTTTGAAGTTATTTACCGTTTTTTTTTAATTATGTTGGCGTGTCCGGAGCAGTTGGCATCTCTGATTGCATGACAAAAATTCTATTAAAAAAAAAACGGTAAATAACTGCAAAGTAACTTTTGCAAATACGTGACTATTTATGCTAGCTTTTAAAAGGTATAGCATGACAAAAGTTCTATAAAGTAGTGAATTAAATAAGCCTACGAATTAGTTAGAAATAGTGGTGGATAAAAATCTAAATTGAATTTATTAAACCAAGAATCTCAATTGATAAACTACTACTTTAAAATATATATTTGCTGTCGGGAGCAAGTTGGCATCTCTGTAATAACTCTTCGTTAACTGGTTTGCATTCAAAGTGGTCTGATCAGACTACCTATAAAAAACCGTGTGGAGACTTTCATTTATTTACAGTTAAAAAAAATTAAGAAACGAACATTAGATCGAGGAAATAGTCAAACTCTTAAAAATAGCCTATAAAGCGTTTGCTTATTTCCTTTAAATAATGTAGAGCAACCGCTGACGGATACAATCATGATCTGGTAGCTTCAGATACAACACACCATGCACAAACTGTGTTTAAAAATTCCACGTGTTTTGCTAATGTGCAGAAAAGGAGCAACCAGACGATCTTCATATTTTATCGAAGGCCATGTGCTTTGGAGCACTTCGTTAAAAAAGAGGATTATCTGTGGTACATTGCACGTTTTTAAATTTGGATACTGTTCAAGTGGCAGCGGTAAAGAGAAGAAAAAAATCCAGCTGGTGCCTTGAAGTACGGTTCTACAAGACAAGAGAACATCTTAAAGAGGCGAAGCTAAATTTATACCTACCTGACGTCATAAGCCAGAAGTTCTAAGATAGGTGAGAAGAAAAAAATGCTTTGGTGATGCTGTGAACATTAAGTTGAAAATGGAATGAATGAGACTTTCTTAACGACAATTCTTCATAACCCAACAATTTACTTTTCCTCTAAGAAAAGAAGTTAAAAGGCAAGAAAAAAAAGTTAATAATAATTAGACGGTTGCCTGTCTGTGGATTTTCAAGGTCTCCTTATCTAAACTCTCTTGGAAAAGTTTTGCAACAATCTGTACTCTCTGTAAGCTATGTGTGGTGGGGGTGATTGCTTGGAATAACCCACAAGTAAGTTTTCAAGGCTGTTAAAAGTTATTAAATGAATAGAAAATTTGAACATAATTTATAAATATGCCAAATTCAACTTTAAAGCAATAACTTAAGGGTAAGAATTTTACTTGCCAAATTGAACTTGAAATACTTGATATATTCCGAATTTAACTCTAGGTTAAGGACGTTACTTACAAAATTGAACTTTATGTGCTATTAAAAGTTATTAAATTATTATAAAATTTGAACACAATTTTAAAATATTCGAAATTAAACTGAAGGAATTTAACTTTAAGGTAAGAACGTTAATTAAACAATTCAAGTTTAGTTGTTGCTCAAAATTATTATATGATTAGAAAATGTTAACACAATTTCTAAATATTCCTAATTTGATTTTAAGGTTAAGGACGTTACATACAAAATTGAACTTTATATTAAAAGTTATTTTGTTATTAAATGTTTTGTTATTATATGTTTTGTTATTTTGTAATTAAAAGTTATATTAGTTACTTTATATTAAAAGTTGAACTTTACTATTAAAAGTTATTAAACTATTAGAAAATTTGAACAGAATGTCAAAATATTCGAAATTAAACTGAAGGAATTTAACTTTAAGGGTAAGAACGTTAAATAAACAATTCAAATTTAGTTGTTGCTTAAAATTATTATATGATTAGAAAATTTTAACACAATTTCCAAATATTCCTAATTTAACTTTAAGGACATTATTTACCAAATTGAACTTTAAATTGCTAAAAATTATTAAACGAAGATTGGAAAATTTGAATACGATATTTGAACATTCCAAACTGAACTTTAGGGATTTTACTTTTAGTGTAAGAACGTTATTTACTAAATCGAGCTTTAAATTGCAAAAAAAAAAAAAAAAATTTCATGCAATTTCTGAACATTCCAAATTGAACTTTAGAGTAAGCTCATCATACTTTTACATATTAATTTTTAAATTACTCTATTACGTTAGAAGATGTAAACAGTAGAAAAAAAGTGCATTAAATGCAAATTACTTTTGATTTGATTGTTGTCTGTCAGTGGATTTTCAGATCAAGGTTCTGGTAAGACGCATTATTACCCATCTATTTTTACAAAAGACATGTTTTTCTTGACAATAACGCATTATTTATGAAAATAAACCTTTTGTAATATATAAAAACTAAAAAAAAGGTGCTGAAACACGAAAACTTGCAGGGTTTATTCACATTTGGGAAAAATTAAAAACTAATAATAACTTTTATATGAAGAAGCTGGCAATTTCTTGGTTTTAACTTACCCTAAGAATTAAAAACTTAAATAATTTGCATTCGAATCTAAGTGTTCTGTTTATACCTACAATTAGTTAGTAAATCAGAGATGCCATCTTGCTCCGGACAGCGAATAAAAATTTTCAACTGGTAGTTTATTAATTGTGATTCTTGCTTTAATAAATTAAATTTAGTAGATTTTTATCCACCACTATTTCTAAATAATTCGTAGGCTTATATAATTCACCACTTTATAGTACTTATGTAATGCTATACCTTTTAAAAAACAAGCAAAAATAGTCTAATATTTGCAAAATTTATTTTGCAGTTATTTACCGTTTTTTTAATTATTCTGCCTTGTCCGGAGCAGTTGGCATCTCTGGTAAATACATTTTTCACATTAAAAAAATTTCCAAGTGATTAAGAAACCTGTTTTATTTTCTGAGTTTATTACTTATTAATGATAGATGCAATATCAGAGATGCCAACTTGCTCCGGACAGCAAATATATATTTTAAAGTGGTAGCCAATCAATTGTGATTCTTGGTTTAATAAATTCAATTTAGTAGATTTTTATCCACCACTATTTCTGAATAATTCGTAGGCTTATATTTCTAGTATTTGTCATGCTATACCATCCCAGGGGAATTCCCCATACAACTGAAGTACTACTGAATCAACTCATGCCTCACCTCATCATGGACTTATTATCTGATCCTAACTTAGAACTATGAACTGTATATGACCTCTGGACTAAATGCCAAAACAGTATAGATGAATCGGTTAGAAGCGCTTCGCGCTTAACACCGAGATTCCACTCATATCAATCAATCAATCAATGCTATACCATCAGGGGTGAAAGCGAGACGGAAAAGAGGAAAGGCTGGTAGTAAAACCATTTCAGTTATAGCTAGTTTTGGGGAGGAGTTTACTTATTCTTTTTTTTAAATTTTTCAACAATATCTACTTTATCTTGGAAAAGAAGCAGTTTTATATATATGCCAGAATTATAAAAGAAATCTTGATAGTTACAGACATTTCATTTTTTTCGAAAAAAATGCTTGAATGAAATGTTTTACGTACCAGGTTTTTCTCTTTTCCGTCTTGCTATATAAGGGCTTTCACCCATGTATACCATTTCAAAAGCTAAACCCTTTTCGGATGCGTAGGAAAATTGACCTCCAAGACCGTATGATTTCTTGAGAAATTTCCATGACCTTCCACAAGGCGATAGGATCTCGGAACTAATCCCCCCCCCCACCTCTTTTTTTTTATCATCTTTTAGATCTTTCTTCAAGTTCTCCCCAAGTTTAATCAGAATTTTTTAATCACATCATGTAAAATATTTCCACCTTAGGAAATCTTATCTTATCAGGTACAACAAGTTTTCTACTGGGGATAAACACAATTGTGTAGGTGCCAAAAAAAATTAATGTAGTTCCATTTCAAAAGCAACAACAATATTCAAATATTTGAAAAATTTACTTGTAGTTACTTACCGTCTTTAATTATTTTGGCGTGTCCGGAGCAGTTGGCATCTCTGCAATATGACTAACTCATACCTGCCAACTTTTAATCCCTTCCATTATCATTTTTCTCAGTGAATTAAAATGAAATTAAAACTTCAATTTTAAGCAAACAAATACGTTGCATTTGAAAAAACTTAAGTTGACAACCATGCTAGTAACGCATATTAATATATGTGTTTAATTTTTGTAAGAATAGTGGTGATCAAAATCATTTAAAAATTAAGTTCATAAAAGAAAAAATAGTATATATTTACTACCACTTTAAATATGAAATTAAAATCTTCCGGAAGAGTTGGCAGGTATGCTAACTGTACGTGGCTTACAGTGAGCTTCTGGAATAAGAATTTCAAGGTCTTCAAATTTATTTTTAATCAAACTTACAAAAAAATTTAAGAATCTAGATACTTCACGGCCAGAAAAATATACATAGAAAGAACTAAACTGACACAAAACTTATATTGTTCACAGCATTCACCAGCATTTTTTTACTGCCAGTGTATACTTCAAAAGCATTTTCCGCAGACCTGATTAATAAATTTAAATAATAGTTTCAGATATATCAAAACTAATATGCAGCTTTAAAAGTGGTAGCTCAAAAACATTTAATTTACTTTTAATGTATGTCTACCATGTTGCAACAAGTAGATTGATTTCTTTTTTCTTCAATCTATTTCCCGCCAATGTTGCATAAACGCATCATTTTAATAAATATTATTCTTATTGTCACTTGTGACGCATATTTTTCACTAATTTTATTTTTCTGCTATTGTCAAGCGTTGTGAATACACATTTAAAATTCGACTAATTCAATTGGAGTAAATACTTTCGGTCGAATTTTTTTTTCAACTATGCTAGTTTCTTGAATTGAAACTGTAATTGACAAATTTCACTTTTTGAAAATTTATAAATATTTCATTTGAGACTAATCACGTGTTTTTATGATGAATTTTAAATAAATAGTTTGTAAATAAAGTTAACAAATCTCATAAGAAAATGAGATTTGTTATGAGACATGTTCAACAATATGGTTTGTCCATTGATTTAGCCACTTATAAGCGCCCTTTAAATTCTCAACCCTTTAATGGGCCGTTTATTTCTAGTAAAGGTAAATTAAAGTAGTTTTGGAATTGAAATTGCTTTAAGAACAGTAATTGATATTAAAAAAAAACTCATTTAGTTTATAAAAATGCCATTTTTTTGGTGGTAAATATATTTAACATGACCTATTAGGAACTTACTGACTTTTATTTTTCTTTATTTATAAAATAAATTCCTTAAATGCTACAAACTTCAAAAGTAATTATGTATTTTATAACTTTTATACGTTTTTTAAAAGTGACAAATGGTTACCAATTTTATTCAAACTCACTTCAAGAAAGCTGAAGTTATTGAAAAATGGAAACCTAAATTAAAAGTGGTAAAACGTGGTGGTAAGTATACTTACCAAGGCCTTCACAAGGGTTAAATATAATATTTTTAAAGCCCAATACTTTCTTTGTGTCTTAACCCCTTGGGGACGGGTGACTCAGAAAAGCATTTGTACAAAATCAGAATCAAGTTGCAATTAAATAAAAAGCGGTAACTTAAATGTAGTCGTTGCTAATTTGGCAGACTTACTTTGCTTTTTCTTTAATTATTGTTAGTCTAATCATATATATAATCAATGTTAGTTCAAAGTATAACTAAATAGTTTTATTTTGAACAAAGTAATGGTGAATTAAATAAATCAAACAATTAGAACTCCGCCCACAAATAAACTGCTAAAGAATTACTTTGATTACGAGTTTTATCTTTTTATCCTGATTGATACAGTTTCATGCTGTCACGTATTTGTGACAGTCGGCGCGAAAGGGTTAATGAATGTAATTTAACTATATTCAATGAAAATAATACCATATTTTATACGTTTTTTATGCTTGCTCAAAAATGGTCCAATTAGAAAAGCATGAATTTTGTTTTGTACAACGTACTTCTTTTTACGTACTTTGAATAATTTTTTTAAAATAGGAATCTCATTATTTTTTCCAGAAATTTTTTTATTTTTTAGGAATCCACGTCATTTATTTAATAGCCTTATCATTAATATATTTTCATACTTTGCATAGATAGCATTTATCGTTCTATAGAATATTTCGGCATTATATACAATAATTAGAGAAAATATGTAATAATTCTCATGTTTCATTCTTTACCCCAAACCGTTCGAATTTATATGCCGAGAGGTAGAATG